AGTGTGTTGGGTGGGTGGGGGGGGGGGGGGGGGGGGGGGGTCAGAGCAACTTGTTCCCAGGGAAAGTTACATAATACAAGGAAGTAAAAAAAAGAGAGGTAACCTGATTCTGGGTTACCAAGGATGTTTAATATTTCTCAAGGAAGAAAAAGATAACACACAGGAGACTATTTTATTTCCAATTTTATTTAATTTACGCTCTTTATTGGATCATTCTACTGGTGGTACCAGTAGAAACAGCTACTTGCACTGGTGCAAGTTAGGCACCAAATTACGTGAACCATTGTACGTGCACAACCTGGTGCGTGCACGTGGTAATTGGAGCCCTGCTTTTACTCATGGCTAAGATCACCTGTCCCCATGGCAGGGAGACTCCCAACAATGTCCAACGTGGAAGGGAATGACAGGAAGTACAATTAAAGGCGATAAACGTGTTGATGTACAGTTTGGCTGACTGTTGCCACAGTCACTCGGACTCACCTGCCTCACCCCCTCACTCCCCCCTCCTATCCTGTCCTACAGTCTCAAGTCTCCCCTTCCTTCCTACCATTTGCTGTCGGACCTGTAGACCTGCCCTTCTTACGACCAGCCTTAACGTCATCTCCAAATGATTGCATCCAAAGGTTTCTCAAAGGGCGGTTTTATTTATTATTTATATCTTGGTTCCTACTGAAATACAATCTCCTGGCTTTTGTTCTGTAGTGAAGCTGGAGATTTAATAACTGACCAGTCCGTTGTACCACAAACAATGGCACAAAGGACGGAGATGCCCATGTTGGAACGTTCAGTCCGCTGCTCTGGCCGTCCATGCTGTGGTGACACGGCTTTTGGTGAAAGACTCTTTAGACCTGATAAAAGCTGCACCGGAGGTGGATGTTGATGAGGATGAGAGTCACTTTTCTCCATCTGTCTGTAATGCCGTGTGTGCAGTTTGTAACTGAAACAATATTTTATTTATACGTGGTGTCCCATGTCTGTACTTGACCTGTTACTTCTCACAAACGGCTCCATTCAAACACTGTGCACAAAAGCCCAGGCGGCTGCAGCGGCCGCCGCGGCCAAGAGTTTGTCAACGGCATCAAATATTCATCCTCTACATGTTTCTACATAATGCGAACCTACAAAGACCACCAACAGGAACATGTGTTACAATGAATATGACACTCGGCCGCAGCGCTGACGCGCTCCACCTCAGGATGTGGTCTGGTCTGAGGTAATAATGGGAAACGCACCCCCAACCCGCTGCTGTGGGGAGTGGATGGACAAAAAGGACCACGGGAATATGTGTGAATTGGGAGCGCTGTGCAGTTCAGGACGTCGGCTTTAAAAGCATGAGATGCACAGTGTGTTTTTATTTATTTATGCACCTTTGTGTCAGGACAGTGTGCTGTTCTTTAAAGGCACGTACACTGTCATTCACTGCTGTGTCTGAATTCATTTGAAGTCTACTGTTAAATGTGAACGTCCTGCTGACCTGCTCCACCCGCAGGAGAAACTGCTGTCAAACAACTGCTGGTCTGAGCAGCGACCCCAAGTGTTCATTTACAGGTATCTGCACAGTAGAACGATCCCAGCTGTGTGTCGTGGTCCTCATCTCACATCTGGGCTGTGGGCCACATTGCAGCTAAGCTAAAACAGAACGTGGCCTTCTCCACGTGCCATAGAGGTACAGACCACATTGCGTATGGGCCAGATTCAGGTGTAAACAATTGTCCCACGTGTGGGCCGCAATGCTCCAAACTGCAGGCAAAGGACAACCAAGTCTGTGCTTTTCCTGACAAAATCCTTGGCCCACACCAGTGGCAATATACTTAAAAAGGCTTTTGCCCATGTGGGTTACATATGTGGACCACATCTTACTTAATCTATCCCTATTCTGGCCCTGTAATCAACCACATGTCTAACATGACCGTGGGCAGTGTTCTTCTGTCCTTAGACCAGAAGGTCAATGGTCGTGGCCCACATTCAGCCCAGATGTAAACCAGATGTGGGCCAACGTTTACACCAGAGATGGGCTTTTTGGTCCCGTTTTAGAGCAGACCCTCTTTTCATGGCTTTGTATTTTTGGTAATGTTGTTCTCTGTTTTTATGGTTCTAATATGGTACAGATTGTGTAAAGGTTGTGGCCCATATTTTAAAACATGCTTCGTGGCTTAAAAGTTTGGGAATATTCTTGGAAAATGTCTGAATCTGAATTGAATGAATGAATTGAATATATATAACTATCTTTGATTTTTGATCTTTGTTTAGTGGGTCATTGTTTTTTTTTTGCACTTATGCCACTTTTTCCCAGAAGGCCACTTTTCCTGTTCTGGTCCAGTCGCCCTAAAAATAAAAACAACCAATCGATCTAACAAAAGTCCAAAATACTTTTTTAAATTGTTAATATATTTGCTCATGAAGGTTATATGAAGTATATTTTACTTTGAACACTTTGGGCCTGCAAATACACAGGAAACAAATGATGACAAATGATGTTTTGTCGCACATATGAAGTACACAGAAGTACACAGAAGTACACAGAGGTACACACTAATGAACTGATGCTCCCATGGATTCTACTAGGTAGAAGGTGAAACACTACTGTATCTGTGAAAGTACTCTTCCTTCCATGTGTGTATCTGCAGAATACATCTCCAGTACTTCTTAAGTACTCAGTAAGTACTCAGTACTCAGTTGCAGAGCTGCAGTCCTCAGATTGTTCCACCTGTCCACCCCTGCTGTGACAGACAGGGAATTCTCTGTGAAAATCTGTGAAAATGTGATCGTCTCGTTTGTGTTTTCCCAGAATTCCTTTGACTTTACTGGCAATGTTTCTACAAGTACCAAGAACTTTGCAAAGTACCAGGAACTTTACACTTCTCCACGACAGGGATCAGAAAATGAATTCAATTCCCTTTACTCTTCCTATGACATCAGATTGTCCAATCACTAGAGCAGTGGTTCCCAAACTACATTTTGATAAGGGAATAAGACCCCCCCCCCACCCCCCCACCATCATCTATTCCCACTCATTTAACTTGTAATGAATGAATAAAAAAACAATGAGAAACTTCTTTTCCCCTGGAAATTTAATGGAATTCAATTACAGATCAATGCATTTCTCAACTGAAGGAAAGATGAGGTAAACTCCTAACCCTGGCTGTGGGAACTCTAGTTCTAGAGTTAGGGCCATCAGTGGTGTTTTCAAACTTCCCCAATCATCTGACACTCAAAGCTCTCATTATTGTAGGAAATCAGGCAGCTACTCTGATCAGGACCAGTTTGGTTCCTGGTACTGTTCAGCAGAAACTAGGTCTGTGGTGTAAACTGAGCCTTTGATGTTTCTTTTCATTCATTGTTTCTGTCCTTTGTTCCTGAGTGGTCTGGGTCTATTTTTAATTCATGGTTGTGATTCACTGGAAGGGTTTGGTCTCTCAACATGTGGCTCGTGACAATCAGAGCTGAGTGTCGCATAGCTTTACAACGACAAGTGGTGACGGTGACAAATAAAGTTCAGTGACGGTTCAGTGACCACCTGCCTGACTCTTTCTGGTTTTTTTTCATACGAGAAAAACGATGCAAAAGTCAGTTATGTACAAGAAACAACTGCTGCTGACTTTATAACACAGGTCTCCAACTGGGGGTATGTGTCCCCCTGTAGGTACCATAGCTACAGTTTTGGGTCGATTAGGTTGTTGGGGTTTTTTAAGCTTGGTATCTGGATAACATTCGTTCATTGGAAACAACAGACAAACTGAGAAAAACTTAGAAAAAGAATTGTATTGTTTGAATAATAGATCACTGCCGCACATCGCCACCTGCAGCAGGGATGTAACGATGCATCATGAATTGATCAAAAATCAATACAAATGCTTGACGAGTCGCATCATTTGAAATGAAAAATAAATCGTGCATCGAGGCGTGAGAAGTGGACAATAAACACACAGCAGGTCTTTGTGGAAATGTTATGGCAATTTGATCAGCTACATTGCGCAACAGCGCCCCCACCAGTGGTGCAGTTCCATTTCAGCATTGGTAGCAAACACATGATGATGTTGCGAATGTTGCAAATACAAACGCTAGGCTACTTAGCATTTAGCATAAACTAAGGTCAAATGTGAGACATTGTCTTAGAGACGCCTCTCGTATTCACATTCACACCTGTGTGTTTCACACACACTCATACTGACGGACACACACACACACACACACACACACACACACTCATAACCATGGTCTTAAAAGAGAGCTTTAAGAATTGGATTACAGACTCTGAACGGGTTCAGTTCCCCTCCGCTGGGTGCTGTCACCCTACTGACACACACACACACACACACACTGTGCCCTCATTAATGGTCCTGATATACGTCTGTGCTGCAGCTTGGTCCAAAGACTCCACTCTTTAAAGGAGTCCATGACCAGTCCATACTGTGGGCTGCACACCGGGCCACGTCTTCAGCACGTGGCCCGGGCAGCGTGCCGGCTCCCGCCCC